TGTCTTGCCCTCGTCCCCCGCCCCCTCTGCAGTATGTGGAAGACAACCTGGGGGTGATGTCGGTGGGCTTCCTGCTCAGCAGCCCTGACGACGCCGTCATCTGGAGGGGACCAAAGAAAAACGGTTTGCCACCCTGCTGTCCCTGTCCTCGCGTTATTGGCCTCACATCCCCCCTGTGCAGAGCAGCAGTCACCTGCTGGGCTTTGGGGGGGTTGGCTTGTGTCCGGGGCTGGGAGGAGCCCAGGGCCCCCTGGTGCCAGGCAGGCGCTCACCCGAGCTGCCCCCGCCCGCGGCGCCCCTGTCAGCTCTGGTGCCTCGCGTGTTCCATGGTTGAAGAGAGCAGGAAACGCCAGCTTCCGTTATGTCACTTTTAATAGCTGGTGTGGGTTTTTCTCTCCTCCATCTAGAATGTCCTGGATTCTTTTTTGGGGGTGCTGGGCGTTGAACCCGGGCCTTGTGCAGGCGAGGCGAGTGCGGAGCTTCACCCAGCCTAACTTCTGCTGTGGTTTTGTAGTGGTTGGTTTGTGTCAGAGAGAGAGGTGTGTGAGGAGGGAGTCCCACCAGGTTGATGGGTCCCGAGACAGAAGGTTGTGGCATGACACTGCGATCAAGAGCGGGCACCTCGGCGGGCACTGCGGGCACTGGCCAGATGAGTTCCTCGGGGCAGGGTGGACAGGGTTCTAGCTGTAGCCCGGCCTCTACCCGTGGTGTAGACATGGCAACCAGACATGTTTTCAGGCCTAGGCACGTGCCCCCTGGGGACAGTGCCACCCCAGGTGGGAGCCGTGCGTGGAGCACACGCCAAGCTCGCGTGCAGACCACAGCTGCTCTGCAGGGCCTTGCGGCCGGCAAGGGAGGGAAGCCGAGCTTGGCTCCTTTGCAGGCATGATCAAGCAGTTCCTCCGTGACGTGGACTGGGGAGACGTGGACTACCTCTTGGTGGACACCCCACCGGGGACCTCCGATGAGCACCTGTCCGTCGTCCAGTATCTGGCCGCCACGCACATTGACGGGGCTGTGATCGTCACCACTCCTCAGGTGAGTGGCTGCTGGTGGAGCCAGAGGGCGTTCCTCGTGCTCCCGTGGTCCCCGGCCCGCCTGGCAGGACCTGCAGAAGCTCACGCTCAGAGCTCCCGGGGCTGCGGGGCCCAGCGCCTGGGCTGAGCTCGCAGGAGCCCTGGGTTCATCCCAGCACCCAGAAAAGCAGTGACAGAGGCAGCTGAGCCCACTGCGCGGATCATCCCAGGAGAGCGGCAGCCAGCAGGTGCCGGCCCTTCCCCGAAATCACGGGGCCGCAGCACGTTCAGACCAGGGGCACCACTTCCCCAGTCCCTCCCATCCAGCACTGCTGTGGGAAACAGCTGTTTAGGTGGCACTCTTGACAAAGGAACAGGTGTATCTGTAGGACACCGAGCCACAGAGGTACGAGGAGATGGGAACTGGGGAACAGCAGCCACGGAGTGGCCACTGTAGACAGGGAGGCGCCCGAGAGCTCGTGGGTGGCCCTAGAATGACGATGGATGGGACAAACAAGGAGGGGCTGGATGATGTTTGTGCACAATGAAGTGGCACCAGGATGAGCACCCGCCGTGCAGTGTCTGAGGTGACCCAGGAGGCCACAGTCTGCCTGTCCATGTTGCCCATGAAGTTGTCCATGGTGGTGGGGACCAGCACACTACCCCAGATCCTGGGCCCCAGCTGGGCCACAGTGCTGGCATTGCCATGGAGGAGGGAAGGTGGCCAGGTGGCACGAGGAGGGGGCGCGGAGGAGAGGGGCGCAGAGGAGGGGGGCACGGAGGAGGGGGGCACGGAGCAGGGGCCGTGGAGGAGAGGGACACGGAGGAGGCGGGCACAGAGGAGGCGGGCACGGAGGAGGGGGACACAGAGGAGAGGGGCGCCGAGGAGGGGCCGTGGAGGAGAGGTGCATGGAGGAAAGGGCACAGAGGACAGGGGTGTGGCCAGTCCCGCAGAGCCCCACCCGCAGGGGCAGGCTTCCAGCCTGACGGCCCAGGGCGCTGGCCCCTGCCTGGGAAGTCGTCCTCGCCACCCGCCCCCCCCCTTGGCGTGCTCCATCGCTCCCTTTGCTTCCTGGCGTTTGGTCTACCCTCTTGGGGTTTCTGGAAAGTTGGGGCAGCTGGAACAGGACTTGTCACATATGGGCACCCAAGAGGTCCCCACTAAGCGACACGCATCTCGTGGGCTTCGTGGTGGCAGGCCCCCGTGTCGCGGCCCCCTGGGCCACACAGGCCTCGGTCCCCGCGCTGACCGGACACCTGTGGGTCTGACCTTGACAGGAGGTGTCGCTCCAGGACGTGCGGAAGGAGATCAACTTCTGCCACAAGGTGAAGCTGCCGGTGGTCGGGGTGGTGGAGAACATGAGCGGCTTCGTCTGCCCCAGGTGCAAGGTGAGGGGCGGGCGGCGGCCGTGGCTCCTGGAGGCTGGTTTGCTGCTGCCGTTGTTTTGGGAAATGGCTCTGGATTAAGAGCCTCTGTCGCTGGCGAAGGGGACGATTGTTTGGTGGCTGGTGTTCTGCATGCAAAGTGAGCTCTTCTGTGTCCAGCGGTTTTCAGAACGTGTCTCTGCTCGATACCGAAGCTGAACCCTGCTCCCCCTCTGCTTCTCCTCACAGAAAGAATCTCAGATATTCCCCCCCACGACGGGCGGCGCAGAAGCCATGTGCCGGGACCTCAAGGTCCCCCTCCTCGGCAAAGTGCCTCTGGACCCGCACATAGGTGGGTGCTCGGAGCGGCCTGCCTCCCGCGCCGTCACGGAGTGGGCCTTCACTGCCCGCTCACCCCTGGTGGTGCCATGCAGGCCAGCACAGGAAGGGACCCTGGAGTGTCAGCCAGAGCCCGCGGAGCTCCCGCCGCAGCCACCTTGAGGCCAGTCAGGGAGAAGCAGTGACTCCCCTGGGAGGGAGGGTGGAGCGGTCACTCAGGAAGGCAGTGGCAGGGGACTGAAGAGGCATCAGGCAGAGGGGACAGGAGGAGCGGGCTGCGGGGGAAGGGGGAGCCCTTCAGGGAGGAAATCCGCAGCCACCTGCCTCCGCGGAAGCCCCACAGGGACCCCTTTGTCCCCACTGCTGGCAGCCCGCCACTCTCCACGAGCAGTTGGCATTGACCTGCAGTGTGGGACCATGGTCCTCAAGTGTCTGACACGTGGTCCCCGAGGCCTGGGAGACACGCGGGTGACTGAGCCCCGTGGCCACCCTGGGCTCCTGCGGCTTGCTGAGGGGCTGGGCAGGCCCTGCTGCTGACTCCCTATTATCTGAGCCTGTGGTGGGACTCGCTGATGGGGTCAGGTGGTCCCGTCCAGCAGAGGCACCTGGGGCTGAGGGCGGAAGCAAGGGTGGGCGCCCGTGGGCCGAGGGCTCTGCACCAGGCCTCACGCTCGGCCCCCCGTCGGGCAGGAGAAGCCGTGGTGCTGGAGCGTGCGCCCTGCATGCCGGGGCGGGCGCACGGGGAGGTGGCCCACCTCAGGGAGGTCAGGGCGGGCCTGGCTCAGGGCGTTGGCGCGGAAAAGAAGGGGCAGAGTTGAGGGGAGAGGAGGAAGGCACCAGTGACCCCGATGCCCGCTCAGCCTGCTGGAGGAGGCGCTGCGGTCAGGACGGCGAAGCAGCAGGTGCACTGCGGGGCCCCAGGACCAGCGCTGTGCGCAGGGGCGGTGGCCGGGGGTCGGAGTGGCCCGTGGGCCTTCGGTGTGCCAGCACGCTGGGAGGGAGGGCCGGGAGGCAAGGGTCATGCCCTCCGGCACTGAGGTTGCGGGGATGAGTGAGGTGGCCCGGAGGAGGCCCAGGAGGACAGCTTGGGGACCTTCCTTGAGGAAAGGGACGCAGGGACTGCTGTGAGGGTGGGGACCCCCCCAAGCCCAGAAAGCCCCCTGGGCGATGGGACGCGCACCACCCAGCAGTGGCCACCAACAGGGTGGTGCTCAGTGACAGGGGCCTCCCTTCGAAGCCCAGAGCCAGGGCCAGAACAAGCACAAGTGACACGGAGCTCATGTCACGTCCCACCAGCCTGTGCCTCGCCCTCCCAGGTCCTGGGCCTGGTGGCCTAGAGACTGATCAGGGGACGCCTGTGCCGTGGGAGGGGGTGGGTGTCAGCCTCTGCAGGTGTCCTGTGGCTCCAGGGAACACTGGGCTCCGCCACCAGCACGTCCTCGAGCCCGTCCCCCCTCGGGGTCAGGTCTCCCCTGGGTCACGCGTGGCCCTCCAGATACCCGGGTGTGGCCTGCAGGGGCCTGGAGCCCAGAGCCACACAGCTGGCGAGGACCAGCCGTTGCTCCCCTGAGGTGACCTTGAAGATGAAGTTAGGTGTGGGAGGCAGCAGGCCCGGGGCGTGCGTGGGACACGCCCATTGTACTGTGAGTGTGAGAGGCTACGTGTGCACGGCCACAGGGTGTTTCTGGAAGGGTGCCAAGAATACTAGGACCTTTTTGGATTTGCTTCTTGCTGTATCTTCCCTCTGTATCTGTACTTTTTTCTTTGTAACAATACACACTCGTTGCCTTTTTACTCAAAGAACTAGCTGATCTCTTACGATGCAGCCACCCAGGCCCACCAGGCGCCCCAGACCCTCCCAGGCCCTACCAGACCAATCAGGCCCACCCAGACTCTCCCAGGCCCACCAGGTCTACCAGGTCCACCCAGACCCACCAGGCCCACCCAGGCCGTCCTAGGCCCACCCAGGCCCTCCCAGGCCCTCCCAGGCCCTCCCAGGCCCACCAGGTCCACCCAGGCCCACCCAGGCCCTCCCAGACCCACCAGGCCCTGCCTGGGCCCTGGAACCTGCATTGGCCATGCATTGCCTCCCGATTTACAGCAGAGCTGAAATGCTAGCCAGTGCCTCTGAGGGCAAAGGGACACAGCTAAGGTCCCAGGTCCCCATGTTGCTGGCAGCTCCAGACCAGCACATCACCACGGCACAGAAAGACCCGGGGCCTCGCTGAGCCATTTCCTTCCTGGCCCTCATTGTCTCTCTCCTCTTTAAGGTAAGAGCTGTGACAAAGGCCAGTCCTTTTTTATTGAAGCACCAGATTCACCAGCCACCTTAGCCTACAGAAGCATAATTCAGAGTAAGTGTGTGTCTGTCACCGCAGACGCCTGCTGACCGGGAGCTGGGCGGGAGGACGGAGTACTCGCCTGCAGCACGGGTGGTGGGGAGCGGGACCACAGAGTGGCCCCAGACGCCGTGAGGAAGCTCCCCGGGTGTCCGTGCGGAGAACCAGTTCATAGCTTAACAGACACAGGGAGGTGAAATCCATGGCAGAGGAAGTGCGTTTCAGGAAGACAATAAGAAACTGACTTCAAACAAACCCAAAGTCAGACGCGTGGCGCAGCCGGTCATCCCAGCAGCTCGGGCGGCTGAGGCAGGCGGATCGCGGGTTCAAGGCCAGCCTCAGCAAAGGGAGGTGCTGAGCAACTCAGTGGGACTCTTCCCTAAATAACATACAAAATAGGGCTGGGGTGTGGCTCAGTGATCGAGGCCCGAGTTCAGTCCTCGGTACCAGAAAAACCTCCAACCTTGGGGTGCAAAACAAAGCCACCGTCAGGCCAGATGTCACCTACAGGCAGTCTTGGTGGCCTTGGGTTTAAGGTAGCAGTCCCAGAAGTTCCCACCTCTCAGCTGAGACCGGGTCTTACTTGCCAATAAAATGGTGTCCGCTCATGCAGTCCCCAGGGGCCAGCTGCGGAATGGGCCCACATAAGGCCTCCAGCCCCTGGTTACAACCGCAGTGGGCAGTGGGAGGCATTGGGGTCACATTCTAGGATTCAGGGCATCTTAGGGACAGGCTTTCGCAGGGACTCGGCCGCCGGGGTTCTGCTGTGGCGTGGCAGCACCCTGCAGGGCGGGTCAGGTTAGCGCTCTGCCCATTCGCTGTTTTCCAGAAATCCAGGAGTTCTGTAGTCCCCGTCAATCAAAAGAGGAGAGCCTCAGCAGTTCCTGAAGCAGGGGACAGAGCCGGGGACCAGGCAGCCCCCAGCTGCAAAACCTCCGGGCAGCACTCGGGTCAGGTGGGGTTGCAGGCAAAGGGACCAGACTCTGGTGCCGCACGAAGTCACGTCCTGAAGACACTTTGATCACCTGTCTGCCACCTTCTTCAGAACACAGCAAAGGGCATTCCTTACACACGTGCCATTTTAAAATAAAAGTGTCTCCTTGAACCTGTCCCACGAGGCCTGCTTCCTGGACACCAAGGGCTGGGGGCCGGGACGTGCTCTTCGGGGAGCCCCCTTGACCACGGAACCCCGTCTAGGCCATCTCTGCCTCTGGTGACAGGTACGCCTGGAGGAAACCGAGGGTGAGCGTGGCCCACTGCAGAGCAGTGGCACCTCTGGCCACATGGCCCAGCAGTGGACGGCGTCAGAGCCACCTGAGCGTCCTCTGGGCTGGGCAAACGTGCTGCGGCTGGGAGCCCTTGCAGGTCCCTGGAAGAGCCCCCCCAGGCACGCGGTCTGGCACCGTTAGTAAGTGGGCAGTATGTCCAGTGACCTCCAGGGTCACCTACAAACGACTCAGGGTTTTTGAGAGATGTGAACTCCAGATGTTTCCAGTGACTTGAGGATGAGACACACAGGAACCGAGACCCATGAGGGAAGAGCAGATCCCATTTTCCACACCACTCTGGGCATAAAGCAGAGGGCGGGCAAGTCCCCTGTTCTTTCCGCCCGCTCTCCTCCCTGCCTACATGGGGCAGCTGGGGGGGGGGGACCTGGATTTGCATCTGTTCTGTGTGGGGGAGGTGAGACCCTCCAAAGAGTGACGGCTGCAGAGCCCAGGGCATCTGGCTCGCGCCTGGCTGTGCCCCCAGCCACCTCAGGGCATCGGCAGGAGCCCACCCAGACCATAGGCTCAGCGGGAGCAGGGGCTGTCCCTCCCACCAGCTCCTGGGCCACCAGCCCAGATCCGTTTCTCACCGAGTGCTGGTGAGTCTCGAGCCCTGAAGGCCAGCTTCTGAACGTCACCCGGGAGGAGAGTCAGCTCGGCTCTCTGTCCTGCCCGGGAAGCCTGCCGACTGCCCGCCGAGGTCCTGGCACACAGCATTCGGGTTAGGATGGTCCAAGCCATTTCAGCTTGAGTCCCATCGGATTTAAAAGATCTATTTCTCACTTCTGGAAGTTTCTGCTCACTTTAAAAATGTGAGAAATCTTCCTGATTCTGTCCTTACTTCTGGAGGTTCTAGAAGTCACTCTTCAGTGACTGAATGACGGTGAGGGACAAGTTCCGGAAGATCACACCTTGAGTTGGCCCTCGAGCCTCAGAGCCAGAGGCAGATGGAGTGGTGGGTGCCGGTCGGGGGGACCGCACCCGGTTAGTGTTTCATGGGCACAGAGTTCAGTCGGGGCGATTGGACAGGGACAGTGTGATGGTCACACAGCATCGTGCACGCACTTAATGCCAAGAACTGTGCACTTGAAAATAGTTCACGTGCTCCTTTTTGTGTGTGTTTTGCCCCAATAGAAAGTGCCAGCAGCAGCCGGCTGTCAGGTGACCCGCACAGGCCACTTCCCGCAGGTCAGGAAGGGGGCAGTCCTGGGCGCGAGCTCAGTGACTCACCGTCTGGAACACGGTCTGGGACAGGAGACTGGCCGTGACTCTGCTGATGTCACTCTCGCCTCCCATCTTGCAGAGGATGTAGCCGTAGAGGTTGGCGGCTTGGAGCGAGATCCCGGCGATGACGAGGGCCTGGCTCGGCAGAGCAGAGGGGGCTGTGAGGGCCGAGAGAACTGTGCCTGTGCCACCCAGCCTGGCCCGACCCCGTGAAAGGACCCTGCCCGTAGTGACCAGCAGCACTGCCGGACGCCACCCAGCCCTCAGCCGAGGTCATGCCATTGCCATCCCATTTCACAGCAGGGAGCAGAAGTGCAGAGCGACTAAAGCTGCCCGGAGGCCACGTGTCCAACTCCACGGGGCATACGCTACACCTGGACGAGTCCCCAAGTCCTTAGACTAGACCACGGCAGTGAACATGCACTTCCAGAATGAAACTCCGACCTCGCAGGCCCATCCCTACCTAGAGGGCCCCCCGTCCAGGCAGGGTGTCGTGTGGGGGTTTGTTTTTTAACAGACTCCTCCCTCGGCCGGACACGATGCTGCACTCCTGCACCCAGTCACCAGGGCCCAGTCAGGAGGAGGCGAGCGCAAGGCCAGCCTGGGCGGCCTCGCGAGACCGGAGCTGTGGCTCGGGTGGAGCAGGCCCGGGCTCCGTCCCTAGCACTGGGGGAGCTTTCCTGAGCCTGGGGACTGGGGATGAAGCTCAGCCTGCACAGGGCTCTGGTTCACTCCCAGCACTGCAAGACATCCGTCTAATAAGAACAGAGCTTCTTTGTCACCAACATTACCCATGAGAACCAAGGCCATCAACAACCAAGTGACCGTCAGATGAAGAATGGATAAAGAGAAGCGTCTGCCATACTGTGGAATATTGTTCAGCCACAAAAAGGAATGACCTACGGATACCCGCTACAGCTGGGGCAGACCTTGGAAAGGTGCTAAGCCACAGAAGCCATCACAGACACCACGTATTATGTGATGTCATTTATAGGAAATGTCCCAGAATGGGCAGGTGCCCGGGGCTGGGGGAAAGGGACATAGACTAAAGGTACAGAGTTTGTTTGGGGAGGAAGAAGATGTCCTGAAATGAAGGTGGCGATGCTTGTACAACTCTAAGCTATTGAACTCCAAACTTCCCGGGGCCAAAATGTGCTGGGTGTGACTATCAACAGTGCCACCACGACCTATCAACCAATGACAATAGTGACAAAACCGCACTCCCACGGCCGGGCTCTGGAGAGCCAGGAGGTCCCGGTGTCCTTTACCAGCCACTTGAGCTTCAGGGAGAACAAGGTGCTGAAGAAAAACAGGATCCAGATCACGGGGCAGATGATGAGGCCGAGCCAGAAGATCCGCGCCTCGGCCTCCGTGGCAGCCGTGCTGCTCGGAGAGGCCTGTGGGGGCGAGGAGAGCAGCTTTCAAACCTGGCAGAAGGTGGGCGAAGGCCCCCTGTGGCTCTGGCCACGCACTCATGTCGCCAGAACTGCTGCCCCCAACCCCGGGCACCAGGGAGCGCCCCCGCCCCCCAGCACACCTTTCTGGCCTCGAAGATCCAGTGGCTCCTCCCGTCCTCGTCGATCTGGTTCCACCACCGGAGGCCCACCATGAGCCTCCCCGTCACGTTCTAGGAAGACGGCAAGAGGACCGTCAGCGTGCCGTGGCCAGTGCAGTGAAAGTCCCAGCCCGCATCCAGCTTGTGCTGGGGACAGGCGAACACGGCAGCTGACCCTGGTGGCTTTCCAAATGGGCGTCCAAGGTTTCTGATCTCTAAGCGTTCTCTAAAAAGTGACAGACCCCCTGACTCATACGGACACGTGACACACTCGTGTTATGGAGGCTTAGAATGTACGACGTGAATGCCACAGTGAGAACCTCACCAAAGTCCAAAGCCACACAGGGTGTCACCTCATCGTGGAGCCTGCGCACAACCAGAGCCATTTACGAAACACTAGAAGCCCTTGTTCCTCTAATTAATTGTGACAGGCCTCAGAACTCGGCAGTTTAAACCCGAGCATCCGGGTCCCATGTGCATAGGGGACGTCACCGCGGGGAGCAGAGCTCACACATCTGGAGAGAGCGTCACCTGGCGAGGGGCCTCACCTTCACAGACCAGAAGTCGAAGGACAGGAGGAGCAGCACGGTGACGAAGCAGCCCACAAAGCTCTTGCTGAACCAGTCACAGCACACGTAGGTGACGATGGCACTCACTCGGAAAAACAGGTGGAAAAAGGTGGCCAGGGGGTGCCTAGGAGACAACCGGGAGGCGCCTTCACCCTGAGCCAGGAGGCCGCATTAGAGTCGGCCACATCAGGCCGCTGAGTGGCAGCGCCTGGGGGAATGTCCTCCCGACGCCTCTCGGGCGGAAGCGCACCCCTCCTTCTCAGCCCCCAGAGCGTCATTGTAGCCCTGGCTGCGCGTTTCTCTCCCTCGAAGAATCCAGTACTTTCCCCTAGTGGCCTCCAGGTCTCACTTGCCCTCTCCCAAACAAGGTCACCTTGGAAGTGAAACGTGACTGAGATCATTGTCTTCCCACCTCGCAGCCACAGGGCCAGTTCCCCTAAAGACGAAGGTCAGGTCATTCCACCAGGAACCCAGCGAACACGCGGCCCGCAGCGGAGGCCCCACGTCACGGGGGACGCCTGTTCCTGGAGAGCAGAATCGGTCACCACAGGAACGGCCGCTGTGACAGTTTGCCCAGCCGAGAGTGGCCTGAGCGGCGCTTGAAGGCGGACACTCACCTAGGGCAGGTGGCTCTTGTGCCTTGACACCAACCCACCCAGAGGCAGAGAGCTGGGAAGCGACGGCCCGTACCTGCACCCGCACCTGCACCTGCGCTGCACCCGCACGGGCACCCCCACCCGTGCCCACACCCACACCCACACCCGCACCCACACCAGCACCCATGCCCACACCCACACCAGCACCCACACCCGCACCCACACCAGCACCCTGCCCACACCCACACCAGCACCCATGCCCACACCCACACCGGCTCCCTCTCCCGCACCCCAACCGGCACCCGCACCCACACCGGTTGCTTCTGTTTTTTATCCTGAAGTCAACTGGGGTAACTTAAATAGGTCCCTACTTGTCCACGTTGGATGAAGGCCTGCGGGGGTCAGGCAGGCGATGGCAGTGGCTCCGAGAGGAGACCCTCACGGCCCCCTTTCTGTGTGACCCAATTTCCCAGGGCACAGTTAGAGGACAAAACTAGGATCAAGAAAGCTGCAGCAGGTCTGATGGCGCGGGGCAGTCAGAGCGCCATGTCTGTGGTGGGCGGGGCCAGGAGGTGACTTCAGCACCAGGCCACCAAGCAGCCCAGAGCAGAGCTGCCAGGCCTGACTTGTGCCCAGAAGCCAGAAATGCAGGCCTGCACGGGACTGGAAGGAAGTGACGGCATTATCTCAATAAAACACAGCCGGCCGCGTCACCGGCCTGCACACTGTCACAAGCCACCTCTGGATCAGTCCCCAGCACAAGCGGAAGGTGGTGAGCAGAGGCCATGGCAGAGCCACAGAGGGAAAGAGGCTGCTTGTGTCCCCAAGAAGAAGCGTGGCCAGAGGAAGCCGAGCCCAGGCCCCTGTGAAATCGGGGGTGTCTGGCTCCCCAGCAGCATTAGCCGGGCTCAGAAGCCGAGGTCACAGCAACTTGTGCATCAGCTACTCTGACCTCCCAGGGGGGCTGAGGGGGCCACGGCGCAGCACCAGCAACGCGCCAGAACATTCTCTCTGTGCCTGTCAGATTCTGGGCCGCCCGTGGCCCGGAGGAGGGCCAGCCAGGAGGTGATCCCGCAGGACTTCCAAACTCCGGGGGCCGCTCCCCCCTCTGGAGACGGCCCACGTCCTCTCTTGAATGTGCCTAATAAACCTCTGGGTCTCTGGGGGAAAACAGAACTTCCTGGAACTTTCCAGAAGATAAGGCTCAGAGTCTCTTGTGTGCTTTTTGCCTTAAATCTTCCTGAAAATTTTTTAAGTGTCTTAATACAATTAAGTTCTAACTGCCTCGCCCCTTGGCCCCCAAGATGAACGAACCTCTCCCAGTGCCCGGAAGCTCCCGGGGGGACCAGGTTTCAGAGTCTTGCAGGTCACAAATGGGGCCCAGAGCCTCCGCAGGTGCGTTTGTCATGTTGAATCCTGTGGGAGACATGAAGACCACCGGAACAGCTGTCTCCTCTGGAGAATAACGTGGATGTAAAAGAGGAAAACCGATAAGATGAGAAAGATACGTTTACTGTAAAAGATGTCGGAGGCAGATCCAAGTGTGCACCCATCGGGCAAAACCGGGGAAGTTCGGGCATTTGAACAAATCCCAGTCCACCCACATTTTTTTTCCACCTTTTTCTTTTTTTGGCTGTGGTTTTCCCAAAATAAAATGCAAAAAGAATTCCAGCTGTGGGAAGGCTCTGGGTCTGTTGCTGACCGCCCATGACCTTACCTCCTACTGGACGGTGGTGTTGTTACTCCAAAAAAAGCCCCTGCCACAGGGTCCCAGGCCCCTGTGCTCCCCTGCCGTGGTCCTCTGCCTTCCCGCCACCCGTGCAGTCCAGGTGCCCCTGGCTTCCACGTCACACCTGGGAGGTCACCCCTGGGAGGCAGATGGCCCTCCATCCCGAGACGCAGAGCCTAGATTGGCAGGGTTTCCGTCCTGAGCAGTTCTGCGGCCTGCCTGCACCGCCCCCTCGGTCTCCCCTGCTGTCAGACGGGGTGCCACAGAGCCACGTCCCAGGACGGAGGAGCTGCGTGGAGGTGGCGCCCGTGAGGTGCTCTGAAACGGCTGCTCCCCATGGCTCGACACTGTCACCTCAGCCCACAGCTCACTCGAAATGGTTCCAGCGCCACACACTCAGACTGCAGAGTTCCCCCTCTGACCACAACTTTCTCTCACGCCTGAGGGGCCCACTTTTCATCTTTGCGGGGATTCCCCAAGACTCCTGCCCCCCCATGGTCCCCCAGACGAGCCTCCTTTCTGCTCCCTTTAACAGGGGCACTTTCCGCCCAGCATCTGAAACACCCCCTGCAGTAGGAGGTCCAGGCAGGACCTGTTACTGCCCAAGAGGGGATGGCACCCGTGGAATGTCATGAACTGACTCGTGCTGCCCGGGGGGGGGGGGGCCTGCTGGGCTTTGTTTCCTCTACTGTAAATGCACTTCACAGCCCAGGGCCCTGGACACACTGCCCTCCTCCTGGGAGACAGGGCTGAGGTCTGAAGCTGCGCGGGACACACAACTCAGATGTGGGGGAGACCTCACGTGATCTCCCCGCCCAGGACAGGGGACTTAGCCCAGGGCCGCTCTGCCACTCAGCTACATCCCAGCCCTTTTTAGTTTTTACTTTGAAACAGGTTCTCACAGTTGTGCAGACTGGCCTCAAACTTGCCATCCTCCTGCCTCAGGCTCCTGAGTTGCTGGGATCACCACTGAGCACCACCACGCCCAGCCTCAACATCAGCTTTACAAGGGAAAAGCCCAGCTGTCCCCCAGGTTCAACACACTGCAACCCAGGGCCCACATCCGGCCTGTTTTTGGTAAATAAAGTTTTATTGGTCAGCAAAAAGGAAAATATTCACCTATAAAATGATGAAATTAGGCTCTGCCTGATCCAAGTCAACCCAAATGAAGTAACTATCCCCCCACACACTCCCTCCAGACCCCAAAACCCACCTTTAAAAGCTGTAGTGTGGGAGTTGCCTGAGGGGCAAAACCCGGGGGTTGTGCTAGAACTCAGGACACCTCATCTCTGGGGGCAGAAGAGGCAGGTCGTGACCAGGAAGGGGCCTGGGGACCTCTGGGTGCTGGAGATGCATGGGTGACTCAGGCATCAGTGCCCTTAGGTATGCTACCCCTTGATTTTTAAAAAAGTTTCCTGTTTAAAGCCACTAACCAAAGACAGATCTTTGCAAGTCACTCTAAAAATCATCCATGTGCTAGGAACCAGCAGCTCCTCAGCATTCATTCAAATGAGTCCAAAACTATGCCCACACAAAGAGCAACGTCCGCAGTTTACAGCGGCTTTATCCATAATCGCCCAAACTCCGAGGCCCCTAAGAAGCCCTTAGACAGAGAAATGGAGCGACGGACAGACGTGGGATGTGGGACATCAGAGTTGTCAACTCGAGGCCCCCAGGAACCGTGCACTCACGGCTAAGCAAGAGAAGCCATTCTGAAGGCCGTGTGCAGCGGGATCCCAACTCTCCCCACGTCTTGGGGACAGCAAAAAGACCAGTGGTCACCAAGGATTCTGAGGGGTGGGGAGAGGGAAAAGAGGTGGAACACGGGGGGTCTAGGAGGCCGATGTGCCCGCCTGTCGAATCCCAAGTGACGCACAACCCAAGGAGGGACCCTCACGGGAACCGTGGACTCCGGCTCATCAATGGCCATAGCTCATCAGTTGGAGCGCGTGTCCCCAGCTCATGCAAGACGCGACTAGCAGGGGCAGCGGTGGGGTGGGAGGGGCTCATGGGAACTGTGCTTTCCGCTCCGTTTTTCTGTAAACTGCTCTTAAAAATAGAACTCATGATTACAGTAAGGTGAGGGGCACAGGTGGGGTGGACGCCGTGTCTACACCGGGTCGGGGCACGTCAGCATTTATTCCAATGAACTGAAACCTTGGGGAAAGCCCCAGGGACGTTCACGCGGAGGCTCGGACACTGTCTTCCAGCAGCTTCTACAGCAGATTTGATCTGGGGCTGGGTCATCCTGATTTCAGTGGCAATGACCTCACAGATAGCGTTTAGAGTTGTCCTTTATTTTTTAATCACTTGGAAAACTGCACTCTGGATTTTCTCCATCTTGAACTCCTCACTCTGTTTTCAGTTCCGTCCCCTCGAGGCCCTCGGGAGCACTCTGCCGTTCAGTGTGGCACGAGTCTCAGGGACACATGCGTCATCGTCCCTTCCAGTCTACTCTGCTGGTAAGAGCGGCGGCTGAGAGGCGGGTGGGGTCTGGAATGATGGAGAAGCAGGGGCGGGGGACGGAATGGGGTGAGAGGCGTCACCCCCTGATAATGACCCAGCCTGGGCAGTGGAACGTCAGGCTCTGTTCTCTGTACTTTTATGTAAATTTGAACTAAAAAAATAAAAAGAGAAAGAATCAGAAGTGGCCTTGGCTTTGCCTTGAGGCAAGGAGCAGACCAAGCCCCCGGGGGTAGGGGCAGGTATCCTGGTGCCTCGGTGGCCCATAAGTGGTGGAAAACAAAAAATTCAGACCTAAAAATCCCCAATTGAGCAACTGGTCATGACAACGAGATAAATGAGGAAAATTCCCTTTCTTCTGGGCTCACAGTTCCTCTGCAAAAAGGAAAGAGAGAGAGAGAAAAGACCCCCCCATGGGGCACAAATACCCACCCTCCCGTCCTGGGCAGCTGGTGCGCTGAGGTTCCTGAGGTGGGTCCAGTGCCCGCTCCACTGCTGCTGGCCTCAGCCCCACACAGGGTAGGAAGCTCTTTACGCCTCGGGTCACCCCTCTGTGAAATGGGAGGGTGACATTTGCCACCTATGTCTGTCTGACCCTCTTGGGAGATAAAATACCCAGGCCATGCCCAACCCGCGGTCACGTGCGGTCACCTGTGGTGTGGCCGAGGCCACTAGACTCGCTGTTGGACTCAGTTGTGGAGGCTTTTGAGAAGGCAAGGCAGAGACGGCAGCTGATGCCCTTCCTGGAAGTCTTTTCTTAGACCCATGTTTCCCCGCTGGTAAAAATGGGCCCCGGCTGCTATTCATTTCTCGGGCGCAGACGCCCACTCACGCTCAGGTGCTTTGTCTGCTGCAAGGAGGGGACCCAGTCACCTGGCGGGTCTGCTTCTCCTCCCGCTGCCCAGCCGTGCCCTGCTCCCTGCCTGTGCCCACAAGGGCGGGTTCCGGGCTGTCAGGACGTCCAGGAGGAGCCGAGGGCTGTGTGCTGTTTCTGTTCAAAGGTCACACAGCACAGGTCTGTGTGTGGAAGTGACTGAAAGAGCAGACTTCCCTCTGGTGCCCACAGTTTTCCCCTCTTGTTTCTGTTCTTTATTTCTTTTTAAAGAGACATCCCGACGGCCGGGGCAGGTCTGCTCGGCATCAGAATGCCCAGGGTCAGCGCAGCCGGCTCTGGGGGCTCAGCCCAGGCTGGGCCCCGAGGGTGGGTCCCCGCCTCCAGCGCAGGCTGCAGAAGAGGCGGCACTGCGGGTCCCCCCGGGCACAGGCCAGGTCGGGGCTTCCAGGCACTCCCTGACCCCGCTGGACCTCTGAACCTATCTATTAGCCACAGCTCAGAGTTTTCCAAAGACACGGGCCCAAAGAACCAAAGACAGGCGTTGAGAATGGCTGACAGGGACAGCAGAAGAGACATGCAGGGAGGCGGGTCATCACGGCAGCTTCTTTCTCAGTCTCTCTCTGTGGCTCTGTCCCTTGTGCGCCTGGGTGGAGTCCAGCTGCCATGCTGTGAGCAGCCTCGTGGAGAGGCCCATCCGGCCGGAACTGAGGCCTCCAGCCAACCGCGGAGCCTTTGGATGATGCCATCTTGGAACAGCTCCCCCCAACCCAGCGGAGAGCCCCTAACTGCGACCCCCTGAGACCCGAGCCACAGCCCCCAGCTAAGCTTCTTCAATTCCCGACCTTGAGGCCCCAAGTGAGAGGACAGCGCTGGTCACCCGCAGCGGCTCAGGGGCCCGTCCGTCACCCAGCATTAGCTCTGTGGACACTCACGTGGAAGGGCTGGGACCCTGTATGTGCACGCTGTGTTTGTTGGGTGGTTTGGACAGGCAGAGCGCTCAGGGCAAGGGGAGGAGACCCTGGGGGCAGCTGCCGTCCCCCACCTCTTAAAACAGGGGACTCAGGAAAGACAACAGAGCAGAGGGCCCGGGACTGACCTTCAGAAGCCGCAGCGGGGGTCAGCAGCAGCGAGGCCCTAAGGGCAGGCGGCACCTCAGGGAGGTAGAAGCTGGTCCTTGCTTCCACCTCCTCTGAGTGGGGGTGATTTTTTAGTTTTCTGCACTGCAAACAGGAAGCAGAATTCACCCACTCATGTGCCTTTTCACCTGAAGCATTATTAGATTCTTCCAGAATCTGGCAGGTTCTGAAGACACCAAATATCAACTTGGGTCCTGGTCCTGGGAGCTCCCGTTTCCCCGTCTGCAAGACGGAGACATCCTGTCCTTCCTCACACTTCAGTATTCTGGAGTCGGGGTGCACCTGCTCAAGGGTGCAAATAGTTAGCATGGAGTTTGTCCCCACGCCCCCACCTCCCAAGAGCCATCACCAAGCCGCACACCGGAGGATGCTCGAGGTCTTGGGCACAAGGCCATTGTTGGTGGAAAACTGAGTGCAGTCATCGGCGCACATTCAGTCCCTGCCACAACCTGTCCTGTGGGAGTCCCCTAAACCGGCTTCCGTGTCCTCCTAGAACAGCCTGTGACATTTTAAAAGTATTCCTGCTTTCTAGAATACAAGGACGCTCCAGATCCAGAGGAACAGGTTGAAACGTCCGCTCCACGAGGGCAGAGACCCCGCCGCCTGCTGCGCTGTGTCCCCTTCGCGGTCGGTGCCTGGCACACAGAGGGCATGAAATTTCTGCTGATTTAATGGAAATAAATGAATGAGAAGAGAAGGCAGCAGCAGTTCTGAAGAGGGTGTGGCCGGGAAGCCCTGCAGCGCCTGGAGGTGCTCCTGCTGTCACCTGGGGAGTGTCTACTGGCGCTACTGGACGAGGGCCAGGATGGTGCTAAATGTCCTACAGTGCGAGGAACCCTCCCCAGTGAGGGGTGACCCAGGCCTAACTGCCAGCTGAACCCTGGAATAAAGGGGTGAGTGGGTTAGCTAGTCCAGGTCCACGCAGTCGAGCTGCTATCCAAACAAGCACCCAGGAATCAGCCAGTGTCCCCTCCTTGTCCCCAAGGGCGTTCCGGATTATGTGGGTCACAATTTAGCAGAAACTGCCCTTCAGTGATTGCCAGCAGAGCTTATGCAATTCAATTCATGTGAATAAGGAATAGAAATAAGAGGAAGTGGAGCTGTTGTAGATGGAAGAGTTAATTTCAGAATCTGTGATGTTGTGCTCGGATCAAAGAGAACTGAAATCTGTCTAGTTCCCTGATTCTGTGGGTTATTTTCCTTGGTAATCATGAACCTTCCTTAAAATCAAACAGCTCTTGGTGGGAACTGCTTATGTGTCATGTCTTTATATTTTAAAATAACTTTGGAGAGCCAGGGACAACATTCCCCAAAGGCACAGGGGACAGGGGTCTTTAGAGTCCTCACTGAGCAAACAGAGCTCCTGAATCACAACAAAAAAACAGAGTTGTCATTCTGCTCAGCGTGTTGGAGCATGCCGTGTGTGCTCACTGGAGAGTGCTTGGCCTCGTGTGCTCACTGGAGAGGCGCTTGTGTTGGTTTTTTTTTTTTTTTGTGGGTGGGTACCAGGGACTGAACTCAGGGGCACTCAACCTCTGAGCCACATCCCAGCCCTATTTTGTATTTTATTTAGAGACAGGGTCTCCCTGAGTAGCTTAGCCCTCACCATTGTTGAGGCTGGCTTTGAACTCGCGATCCTCCTGCCTCAGCCTCATGAGCCTCTGGGGTTACAGGCGTGTGCCACTGCGCCCGGCCACTTGTGTTGATTTCTGAGAATGACCAGCCACCAAGATGTCACCTGCCCCGTCTCCTTCCTTGCCCTCCCGCCAGCCTCTCTAGACTCAATGTCACACATAGAGGTGTTAAGAACACAACTTATCCACATCCAAATCCCAGACACAGAGAAGATCATTCCCACCCAGGGTCGATTTTGTCATCAGAGACGTTGACCACATCTGGAGATGCGCTGATTTCCATCACTGGGGGATGGGTACTTCTGAAATCCGGTGGGCAGAGGCCAAGGACGCTGCTAAACGTGCTGCCCAGTCTGCGCCCATGATAAAGAGGCATCTGCCCCCGCCCCGGGTCAACAGTGACAAGGCTGGGAAGCTGCTCGAGAGCAGGGGCACTTCTACACTCCTCATCTGCCCAGGAGAATCGGAAGTCCTCCCCAGGGGACGCGAAAGATGGAAGCCCCGTGTCTCCTGTCCCCAGAGCAAAGCTCATCCCCCAAAAGCAGAAACAACCCAACTCATCTAGTGTGAGTGGACAGACAGGGCCTGCGACCACAGGGAGGTCACTTCACCAGAGAAGGAACGAGATGCTGCTGAACACCCCGATCCTGGGGTGCAGTGTGCTAGGTGACACATGTCCTACAGTTCTGTCAATGTCACTGGGCGAGGGGCGACCCAGAAGCTGGACGGCGTGACTTCTGGGTGGGCCTCTGAGGATGTTTCCAGAAGAGACTGGAGTCTGAATCACAGACGGAGAAAACCACATCCTGTCCCCCAGTGTAGGGGGTCCCTGAACACGCCTTGGGACTCGGGCTGGGACTCCCAGCTCTCAGGCCTTCAGGCTTGGGGTGGGACCAGCAGCAGCTTCCCCGGCCTCCTCAGCCCCTTACGCTCATAAGCAGACCTCTCAGGATCAGTCTCTGTGTGTATCTAAGCATACATCACAGGTAGCACATGTTAGTATAATAACTTAAATACATAACTATCGTGTAGTTAGTATGTGATGACAAAATGATACATAATAACACATAATACATGATAAGTTGATAATAATTAGATACATAATTATAATAATAATGATAAATGATATATAATTGTATGTACTATGTTAGTATACTAATTGTACTAATGTCATTTTTACATATTATTTTAATCATAATGTATGATTGGAATAAGCAGAATTTTCTGGTTGGTTCTCTTTCTCTGGAAAACCCTAACTAATACAGATTTCATTTGTATAAAATATCCAAAACAGGCACATTCACAGGGACAGAAAGTGCAACGGTGGTTTCCAGGGCGTAGGGCAGGGGAAATGGGAAGTTTCTGCTCAATGGGTAAAGGATTTCCATCTGGAGTGATGAAGAAAATCCCAGAACTAGGTGGTGGTGACCGTGGCCCGATCTTGAGTGTGACAAATAGCACACTGATCTGCAGACTAACGAGAGTGGATCTGTGATGTGTGATGTGTTTCAGGCAGACACACACACGGACATGTCACCAAAACAGACAGCAAGGGAGAGGATAGATAAACGGCCACAGCCCACCTGAACCTCGCGTCATCGAAGGCTGCGCCCCGAGAGTGACCTCTGGAATGCGGGAAGTGGTTGCTGTCACCTGTCTGATGAGCGTTGATGACTGGAATGTATCAAGAACTCAACAGCCAGGAATGAAATACCTCAGTCAAAGACGGGCCACAGACTTGGGAGGACATTTCCCCAAAGACAGTCCACAAAGGAGCACCAGATACGGAGAGGGCCACCCAGCTGCACGTCCCCAGCCACAGGGACATGCCATCTCAACCACAGCGAGTCACCACACACCCACCAGGATGGCGACCACCCAAACCCAGAAGATACGTGTCAGCAGGATGTGGGGGGACGGGGAGGCTGTTCACTGCTAAGACAACTGCCCTGGGTCCCTCAAAGAATTAAAACTGGAAGTGTCACACACACCCCCCCCCCCCCGCGCCCCCGGCAGTCTCACTGCTGGGTCTCTGAATCACTAACAAAGCGCACCGCAGGCGTACAAAGGGACCTTAGTCAGCCGTCAGAGGAAGGAAACTCCCACAGGTGCTACAACACGGCTCAAGGGCTGTGAGAGGGATCCCACTTTCCTGAGGTGACTGCAGTAATCAAAGTCAGAGGCAGCAGGAACGGTGGCCAGGGTGGGGAGGGAAAGGGAGGGTTGTTTAATAGGCGCAGAGGCTCAGTTTTACAAGATGACAACATTGCAACGATACCTAACACCACCAACTGCACAACGCAAAGGAATCGAGACGGTAAATTTGTCGTTTTAAAAATCACGATAAAAAGTAAAAACAAAACAAAAGAAATAAAATTCCCTCTGGGGGAAACACTCGGAGCATGGCTGGTGTGGCCTCTGCCTGCCGTGCTGTGCTGCAGAATCACATCCTCCGTGGACCCAGGGACCCCCCAGCACAGCACGGCAGACCCCGGAGGAGGAGGCAGGGAGCACCTCTCTGTCTCCAGGCTCAGCCCGGCACCTGCTCACGCTCACCAGATCAACTCCACAGCAACCACGTGGTGAGGTCCGGGGGGTACAAACAGGTCAAGGCCAGGCAACGGGACCTGTCCCAAATCACAAAGCCCGCAGCTGGTGAGGGAAGGCGTGCACTAGACTCCTGGGCTGGGCTGAGAACTTCCTTCCACCACCTGCCTCCAAAGTCAACAGGAATCGCAAGTTCAACAGGGATTTGCAACAGCGGTTCTCACTCTGGACTAGGGGGGCTTAACTTTCTTGTATTTTGCTATTCCAATTAAAGTTTGATCCTTTTTCTAAAATGACACACATAAAAAATTAGATAATAGTGTTCAAAGGGTTTCAAATGGTTTGCTACTATCTGGCTGCTTGTTTTCAGGATCTCCTCATCTAAGAACCAACTGCGGAGCTCTTTTTAAATGTATGTCCCCTGGGAGTCTGGTTGTCAGTCCAGGGCCACCCCCAGGGATGCGCTGGGACACAGAGGACTCTGGGTTGGAGGCGCCCAGACACACAGATTGTGGGCTGCTGCCTCCCAGATCTCTGACTGAGGACTCCTCCGGCTCCTGTCCCCTCCGCCAGCTGCCCACTGAGCCTGGCCACTAGAGTGTTCCACCACAACCTAACAAAAGGACCACTCTGGGGTCCACACCTTTGTCTCCTCCGGGTCACCGGATCAGAAGCTCGAGTGTCACCCTGACCAGGGCAGGCTGATTCTCCCTCCGGGCCTCTTCTGTCCACCACCCCTACCGGAGCCCTGGCCCAAGCTCCCAGCCTGTCCTCCATCCTGCGGGCCTGCCCACAGCCGTCTTGATGGCGGAGCTGGAGAACCGCAGCCTCGTGTGGCCGTTCACATTTCAATTAACTAAAGGGAAATAAAATCAAGTGTTCTGCCCCTTGGTCACACAAGGCCGTTTTAATGCTCAATGCCACAGGCATGGAGTGGCCCCATACCAGAGAGTGCAAATAGAGCACATGTCCATCCTGCCAGAAGTTCTAGTGAACAGAGACGTCCTAGAACTTGTCTTGTCAGCCCTTAGGGGTCTGGACCTGGCCACTAGCCAGCGCCTCTGGTCTGGAGCCACAGGGAACCACCCTTACCACCCCAAACTCACGGTCTCACCTCCAGGCCTCTGCACGGACAGCCACCTTCCCTGACCCCTTAAGGGCCCCCAAGCTTCAGGTCCCAGCTCAGCTGTCACCGCCCCCTCCAGCAGGATAACGGCCCAAGCTTCTGCTCATCAAGCGGTTAAAGCTCCGAGTTGCGAGTTGCGGCAGCCTGGGTGCTTACCCCCCGCCCCACACCGTGGCTTTTAAGTGGAGGCGCTTCCCAGAGGACACTTGGGGGTCTGCAGAATTTACTGGATGCTCCTGGATCTGGTGAGTAGAGGCCAGGGATGGAACCATGCCCAGGGACGCTAAAACGTCCTGCAATGTCCGGGACGATCCCCACGACAGAGAAGGATCTGGCCCCAAATGACAGGTATGTTGAGGTCAAGCAACCCTGCCCCGAACTTACAGCTCCGTAAGGCAGGACCCTCGTCTCCAGCCACCAACCCAGTCAGGCCCACGGGAGATTCTCACCGAAAACTGAACACGTGAGCTTAGCTATCCGGTAAGTTTCTTTACCAGAATTCTAGCTCTCTTACTGGGCCATTCTTCAAATCACTGGTCGTCACAGTCAGATGAGTAACACCCCCCCCCCAATAAGTAGGTCCTAATCTCTGGAACGTAGCCTTATATGGCAAAAGGGACTGTGGGCCTATTTATTTAGGGATCTTGAGAGGATCCTAGATTGGCCTGGTGGGCTTCAAAGCCACCAGTAATCTCCTTTTTGGAGAGAGGTACAGAGAGACCATAGGCACACACAGAGGAGTAGGTCAGGTAAAGGTGGCCCCACAAATGCCCACAGCCACCAAGAGCTGGAAAAGGCAAGGAGTAGATTCCCCCCCCCCCCCCCGGCCTAGTGCCTCCGAAGCGGTCGGACGGACCCTGCCGACATGTTGGTTTCAGCCCAGAAAACCTGCGTGTGGACCTCTGGCCTCGAGAGCTACAAGAGGACCAACTTCTGATGTTTTAAGCCAATGTGTTTGGGAGAATGTGTTAGTTACTATAGGAAACTGATGGAGTCTATTCTATTCTGGGGTTATTGGATCTAAATCAGAGAACTGAATGTTAAAAAAAAAAGATTTTGAAAGGAATGGTATTGGGCATAGAGGTGTAGCTCAGTGGTAGAGCACCCTCCTGGCATGCATAGGGCCCTGGGTTCAATGCCCAGTGCTCCAAAAGTTAAATAATAATAAAGATGATGATGAAGAAGAACGGCATTGGGATACCAGGGCCCCTGCCTCTAGGCTGTGAATATCTCTAGATGCAGCAGGTGCTTGGCTGTGCGCAGCCATGTTCATGGGGCATTTCCCTGGTCCTACTGCCTGGGACAGGCGGGTGTGACCTGACCCAGGCCAAGTCTGTCTGGCCAGAGCTGAGCAGGGACTGGAAGAAAAGTCAAGCCCTCCTGCTGGTACAGCCTCCTGCCCCCCCCCGCCCCCCTCCACTGCCCCCTCCACTTCCCGGTGGCCCCGGTGCTGTCTCCCTGACCTTCTGCCACAGCCTCGGGCCTTTGCCGTCTCCTCCCTTCTCTTCCTCCAGAGTCCCCAACGCTGACTGCTCCTCTTCATCCAGGTCTCAGCTCAAAGGCCACCTCCTCAGAGCTTTCCCTGTGGCTCTCACATCCTATGATCACCTCGTTAATCTCTGTCAGACTGACCGTTCCATGTCAGCACACAGCTGTCCCACACTGCAGGCTCCGGGGGTCAGGCATGGTCTCATCTGTCCACAGTCTGTCCCCTGGCCCACAGTAGGTTCAGGGATATTTGGAATGGATGGGGGGATGGTGGTAGATGGGTGGACGGGCAGATGGATGAATCTGCGGCTTTGGCGCCTGCGTGCCCAGAGCCCAGTCCCAACATACCTGATCTTGGCTTTCCTAAAGGCCAACTCCTCTTCATTGCCAAAGTCCAGGGACACGTCCTCGGTATCATCTACCAGGGCCTGGGGACATCAGGGGCCGATGGAGGGCAGGCCCCACTAACCACCACCGGTTCCGCACCCCGGGCTGGTCTCTGCGCGCCTCTTTGGTTCCCCAGAGATTCCTTGGAGACCTGAGGCCTCCTGCTGCCTCCTGCTCACGGGCCCAGCGCAGCCTTAGGCGCTGGGGTTGGTGCCTCCCGGCTCCTCCCGGCCTCCGCCTGCGCTCCCGCCGCCGCCTCCCGCTCGCCATCTCCCTGCCCGCGGTGATCTCTGCGGTCCTACCTGCTTCATCCTCCCGGGAGCCCACAGCCCAGGATCCAGGTCCGCCCGTTGCCACCGAAGGTCTCGGGTGCCCCCGGCTTTAGCCTCGGGAACGCGGAGGGGCTGGGAGGCCCGGGAGCTGGCCCGGGAGCTGGCCCGGGAGCTGGCCCTGGAGCTGGCCCTGGAGCGGGCCGGGGAGCGCAGTGGCCGGCTGGGGAGGGGCTCGTTCCCGGGCTCGGCGGGGAGGGTCCTGCCGGAGGGGAATGCGCCCCAGCCCCGGAGCGCAGGGGCCAGGGCGGGTGCCAGGGGAGGGGACAGGTCCGGGGGACCCAGGACAGGGATCCTGGGAAGAATAGTGGGGTCAGGAAGCGTTGGGCACGTTGCAGAAAGGAGGAGGGAATGGACGGACGTCAGAGCCTGGCAGCCGCGTTCAGGGGCTCAGAGGATCCGCCTTAGGAAACGCATTCCCAGGCCTGGCCCGGTCCCCACGGATGGCGGCCCCCGAATCTGCCTGTTCCCAGGGACCCGCTGCAGCCTCGCTTTGATTTGCAAAGGCTGTGAGAGCCCGCAAGGCGCCTGGAGCGGGAGGGGGTGGGGGGTGCGGGTGGGGGGTGTAGGTTGGGGGTGGGGTGGGGGAAGGGTTAGGGTGGGGTGGGGGTGCGGGTGGGGAGTGTAGGTTGGGGGTGGGGTGGGGGAAGGGTGTAGGGTGGGGTGGGGTGGGGGAGGGGTGTAGGGTGGGGTGGGGGTGCGGGTGGGGGTGTAGGTTGGGGGTGGGGTGGGGGAAGGGTTAGGGTGGGGTGGGGTGGGGGAGGGGTGTGGGGTGGGGGTGCGGGTGGGGAGTGTAGGTTGGGGGTGGGGTGGGGGAAGGGTGTAGGGTGGGGTGGGGTGGGGGAGGGGTGTAGGGTGGGGTGGGGGTGGGGTGGGGGCCACCAGACACTTTGAGCACCACTGGCTATTATTAAAGAGCATTTCCCAGGAAAGGTTTATCATCTGAGGGTCTTTCCTGGCCCAGGACAGGTCACTCCCCCTCCTGCAAGCCCTCTCCCCCTCCTGCCCTCCCACTGCGCAGAGGCACAGCTGAGCGTCCAGGTGCTAAGGCCACAGCCTGTTGCTCCCTCTGCCTTGGGGCAACAATTGGCCCCAAAGGCAGGTGGGCCCCAGCTCCCCCCTGTCTGCTGCTGGCCACCGGTGGGTGGAGTCAGAGATGCTTTATCTCTGATCCCTGGACTGGACCTGGGGCTTTCTGCCTCACCTCCACCATGGCCATTCCTTTAGCTGACCTTCAACTGGCCTGAGGGGGTATGGAGGAGGAAGTGTCCTCAGAGGACGACAGGCCAGCCTCAGGAGCCAGGCCCCTCTAAACGTATTTCCCAAGCCATGTGGCAATTCTGGTAGCTTCTAAGTGTACCTCCACCCAGGTGCCACAGAGACCTGAAGTCAGGCTCTGCAGGTGTTTCCAGAGCTCCCAGGTGTGGGTAGCCGCGTGAAGACCCAGTGCTCCAACCTGATGCTTCCCACACTGGAGGGTGGACTCAAGGGCCTGGGGCAGCCTAAAGTGTGGGTTCTGGCTTCCCCCAGCTGCCAGGTGGGGCCAGGGCTGCAGATCTCGGCAGCACCGGGAGCTGTGAGGATCTAAGCCACTGGGGCCTGGATTTCTAGAAAGTCCTACTGACTCCTCCTGCCCAAAGCTGGCTCTGGGCACACAAGGGTCAGACAGAGGAACCCCGTCTCTCCTGCCCCCCGCCCCCCACAGCCCAGGCTGGGATACCGGAGAAGAAGTGTTTGCAGCAGGGGTAGGTGGAGGTGAGAAGCCGTTGTAGAACATTTAGGGGCTTTTCCTCTGACCCTGAAAATCACCAGCTGCTGGTGTCTGTTGAGTTGGGGTGGGGAGGTGGGAAAACCCCCTTGGAAGCCCCATTTGGGGCCAACTGACATTCTCAGCCACGAGGTTGGGGATACCTCAAAAACAGCCACAGACTTACCATCCAAGATAACCCTGCAAACACGAGGTCCGCCCCTCGCCCCGCGCCCCCCACCCTCACCTGGCCGAGGGCTGAGGATGCAGACTGTGGATGGGTACAGAGAACCCACCTCTGATCACAAACTGCTGCAGGGACCTTACCTGCTAGAAGGTGGGGTTCAGGTCCTTCCTGACTCTCTGGGGGCGGCTTGAGAATCTGCTTCTCCTAAGGCCCGGGACACGAGGGGCAGAGCCTTCGGGGAACACTGCCTGCCTATGTCCATGCTCCTGTTGGCCCTGAGAGCAGGGGTCAGAGCCTCCAGGCACAGCCCATCTCTGATCCCCGCCACCGGCTTCCTGCCCCTCCAACCCAAGGAAGAGGACCCAGGTGTGGCCAGCGCTGCCTCTAGATGACCACCAGAAGTGTGCACGTCCGGCCAGAGATGTGGCGGGCCACCTTGGGCAGGGAACCTCGTCTCTTGGTCCTTGGCGTCTCCTCCCCTGGATCTGTGACCTCAGGGGCGTGTGCTTTAGCTGGGAAACCTACCAGATGCCGCCCGCCTGGTGTGCTGAGGTGCCACTCCACCCACCCTGGGGCAGCTGGCCGAATGGCAGACAACTTGGCATAAAATGTCACTTCAACTTTGGAGCCACGGCAGAGGGAGGGGGCTGGGTGGACAGGAAGGTCGGGCCTTACCTGCAAGTGCTCAAGGCCTGGCGGGGCTTGGCCGGAGACTAGGAGGCTTCCCGGCCATCCCGGCCTTCTCAGAGTCAGGCTGAGTTCCACTTCGCTCACATTGAGCAGGGCCCCCACTCTGCACTTGCAGCTGTCCTCTGGCCTGTGCGGAGGTGCCAGGAGGAAACCCAAGACTGTCCTCCTCCATCAGGTGGATGCCGAGTCCCATGTGAGGCCCAGGAGACTGCACAGCAGGATTGTGGCCAGTTCTGGATATTCCTCAGGACCCAGTGGCCAGATCCTGCCCACTCCCAAAGCCCCAGTCTTGCTGCCTCGGGGCCTTTGCCCATGCTGTTTTCTTTGCACCGATGCTCTCCCACCACATAGTCAGAGGCTGAAAATGTAGAGGCTTCCAGTGGCCCTTCCCGACCCCCTCCCCAAGGTGTCCACCACCGTCAGAGCTCTCTCTACCCCAAGTTCTTGAGACACCTTTCACATCATTCTTATGTCTTTCGTTTTCCTCCTGCACTTAGTCATCCTCATCCTCTTTCCCTCAGATACCAGCTCGGCGAGGTAGGAGGTTGTGCAAAGGGTAGGAGGTTGACAGAGCTGGGCTCTTTTGCTAAGATGGCAGCCCTAGCTGGGGACAAATGCAGAGCCAGGGCCAGCTGCCAGGCAGTTCTGAGGGGCCGGCAGGATCCTAGGGCATGCCACCTTGGGGACACGGGGCTCAGGCAGGGAGTGGCTGTGGCCCTGGCATGGCAGGGCTGGGGCGCTGCCTGCATCCTGCCTGGTGCAGCTCAGGGCAGCCGCCCCACTGTGCGCTGGACTTCACCCTCAGTGCCACCCGCCCTGAACCTGGGCAGAAAGCCTTCAGGTGACGTGGAGCCCAGCAGGGTCTGCACACAGCGTGTCTGCCCGGTGACTGCTTGGCCTCCCGCAGTGGCCCAGTGGCCCAAGGCCCCCTCAGGGCGGTGCGAGGCTCAGCCGTGGATCCTGCAGAGTGGGCGCACGCCCAGTGTCATGGCTGCAACTGCCCCTTGTCCCCTCCCTGCCGCTCCTCGCTGCCCCTGGCCAGGGCCTGCCCTCTGGACCCCGTGCAGCTTCCTCCTGTGGGACGCTCCCCGAGAGAGGGGCAAACCAGGCAGCCCAGCTCTGATGCGGCCTCCTGGCCTCCCAAGCAAACTGCCCTCACCAGGGCTGTGAGGGGGTGGCCAACAGGCCAGAGACGGCCTCTCCTACTCAAGGGCCAGGACAGGGCCGGCCACAGGCAGCGGGGAGAGTGGGCAGTGGCTGGGACCCAACAGCAGGTGCATCTTGGACCTCTGGCAGTCCCTCCGGCAGTCTCTCCAGCAGTCCTTCCACAGTCACACGATGGGAGGAGCCTAAGCTGGTGGCCCCTCACTCAGTAGCTGGAGGCCCAGTCGGGTTGCTCCATCATCACAGCCCCAGCCCCTGCCTAGTCGGGGTGCCAAACTTTGCTAGCCACCACCTGTCTCGCCAGGTCCTGATGAAACCAGCCCAGAGACTCCCGGGAGCTCCCCACCCTTCCCACCTCAGGGCCTTGTCTGTTTCCTGCCCAAGGGAACACCCTTCCCGCCTCAGGCTGAAAGTATGAAGTCCCTTCTGTGAGCCTTCCAGACCCCCATCCTCTGTTCCTCCTGAGTTCTTCACCCCCATCCAGACTCTGGGATCTAGGTCACAGCCTGCAGGTCCAGACTCTGGGATCCACGTCACAGCCTGCAGGTCCAGACTCTGGGATCCACATCACAGCCTGCAGGTCCAGACTCTGGGATCTAGGTCACAGCCTGCAGGTGTAGACTCTGGGATCTAGGTCACAGCCTGCAGGTCCAGACTCTGGGATCTAGGTCACAGCCTGCAGGTCCAGACTCTGGGATCTAGGTCACAGCCTGCAGGTCCAGACTCTGGGATCCACATCACAGCCTGCAGGTGTAGACTCTGGGATCTAGGTCACAGCCTGCAGGTCTAGACTCTGGGATCTAGGTCACAGCCTGCAGGTCCAGACTCTGGGATCCACATCACAGCCTGCAGGTTTAGACTCTGGGATCCACGTCACAGCCTGCAGGTCCAGACTCTGGGATCTAGGTCACAGCCTGCAGGTGTAGACTCTGGGATCTAGGTCACAGCCTGCAGGTCCAGACTCTGGGATCTAGGTCACAGCCTGCAGGTCCAGACTCTGGGATCCACATCACAGCCTGCAGGTTTAGACTCTGGGATCCACGTCACAGCCTGCAGGTCCAGACTCTGGGATCTAGGTCACAGCCTGCAGGTGTAGACTCTGGGATCTAGGTCACAGCCTGCAGGTCCAGACTCTGGGATCCACGTCACAGCCTGCAGGTGTAGACTCTGGGATCTAGGTCACAGCCTGCAGGTCCAGACTCTGGGATCTAGGTCACAGCCTGCAGGTCCAGACTCTGGGATCTAGGTCACAGCCTGCAGGTCCAGACTCTGGGATCCACATCACAGCCTGCAGGTGTAGACTCTGGGATCTAGGTCACAGCCTGCAGGTCTAGACTCTGGGATCTAGGTCACAGCCTGCAGGTCCAGACTCTGGGATCCACGTCACAGCCTGCAGGTGTAGACTCTGGGATCTAGGTCACAGCCTGCAGGTCTAGACTCTGGGATCTAGGTCACAGCCTGCAGGTCCAGACTCTGGGATCCACGTCACAGCCTGCAGGTGTAGACTCTGGGATCTAGGTCACAGCCTGCAGGTCCAGACTCTGGGATCCACGTCACAGCCTGCAGGTGTAGACTCTGGGATCTAGGTCACAGCCTGCAGGTCTAGACTCTGGGATCTAGGTCACAGCCTGCAGGTCCAGACTCTGGGATCCACATCACAGCCTGCAGGTGTAGACTCTGGGATCCACATCACAGCCTGCAGGTCCAGACTCTGGGATCTAGGTCACAGCCTGCAGGTCCAGACTCTGGGATCTAGGTCACAGCCTGCAGGTCCAGACTCTGGGATCTAGGTCACAGCCTGCAGGTCCAGACTCTGGGATCCACATCACAGCCTGCAGGTGTAGACTCTGGGATCTAGGTCACAGCCTGCAGGTCCAGACTCTGGGATCCAGGTCACAGCCTGCAGGTGTAGACTCTGGGATCTAGGTCACAGCCTGCAGGTCTAGACTCTGGGATCTAGGTCACAGCCTGCAGGTCCAGACTCTGGGATCCACATCACAGCCTGCAGGTGTAGACTCTGGGATCTAGGTCACAGCCTGCAGGTCCAGACTCTGGGATCTAGGTCACAGCCTGCAGGTCCAGACTCTGGGATCCACATCACAGCCTGCAGGTGTAGACTCTGGGATCTAGGTCACAGCCTGCAGGTCCAGACTCTGGGATCTAGGTCACAGCCTGCAGGTCCAGACTCTGGGATCTAGGTCACAGCCTGCAGGTCCAGACTCTGGGATCCACATCACAGCCTGCAGGTGTAGACTCTGGGATCTAGGTCACAGCCTGCAGGTGTAGACTCTGGGATCTAGGTCACAGCCTGCAGGTCCAGACTCTGGGATCTAGGTCACAGCCTGCAGGTCCAGACTCTGGGATCCACGTCACAGCCTGCAGGTGTAGACTCTGGGATCCACATCACAGCCTGCAGGTGTAGACTCTGGGATCTAGGTCACAGCCTGCAGGTCTAGACTCTGGGATCTAGGTCACAGCCTGCAGGTCCAGACTCTGGGATCCACGTCACAGCCTGCAGGTGTAGACTCTGGGATCTAGGTCACAGCCTGCAGGTGTAGACTCTGGGATCCACATCACAGCCTGCAGGTCTAGACTCTGGGATCTAGGTCACAGCCTGCAGGTCCAGACTCTGGGATCTAGGTCACAGCCTGCAGGTGTAGACTCTGGGATCCACGTCACAGCCTGCAGGTCTAGACTCTGGGATCTAGGTCACAGCCTGCAGGTCTAGACTCTGGGATCTAGGTCACAGCCTGCAGGTCCAGACTCTGGGATCTAGGTCACAGCCTGCAGGTGTAGACTCTGGGATCTAGGTCACAGCCTGCAGGTCCAGACTCTGGGATCTAGGTCACAGCCTGCAGGTCCAGACTCTGGGATCTAGGTCACAGCCTGCAGGTCCAGACTCTGGGATCTAGGTCACAGCCTGCAGGTCCAGACTCTGGGATCTAGGTCACAGCCTGCAGGTCCAGACTCTGGGATCTAGGTCACAGCCTGCAGGTCCAGACTCTGGGATCTAGGTCACAGCCTGCAGGTCCAGACTCTGGGATCTAGGTCACAGCCTGCAGGTCCAGACTCTGGGATCTAGGTCACAGCCTGCAGGTCCAGACTCTGGGATCTAGGTCACAGCCTGCAGGTCCAGACTCTGGGATCTAGGTCACAGCCTGCAGGTCCAGACTCTGGGACCTGGGTCGCGGCCTGCAGGTGTGGGTCCTTTCTAGCTCTTTCCATGGCCTCTGATTCTTGTCTTCTTATGGGTTTGATGACCTTTCTCCTCCCCATTCCCCCGTTAGAGAACCGTCCCTAGAGCAGGTGCCCCTTCTGCCCGGCATGCCCTGGGCGTCGCACAAGGGCTGAGGGAATGAAGAGACGCACGACCCCAGGGAAGGTGCCCGCTCTGATGAGGACGCCACAGCTGGGCCGAGGAGAGGCGTGGCTCACACCAGGGCCTTTCTCAGAGACGCGCACACCCCTGTGCCCAGCCCAAGCCTGGGGCTCCCCCCCACACTCTCCAGCGCCCTGCTCTGCACGTCAAGGACACATAAGCCAGGAGGCTCAGAGCCCCCAGGGGACACCCAGGACCCACCCTCCTCAGCTGGACTCAGGAGGGCTGCAGGACAGGGCTGCTCCAGCCCAGGCCGCAG